CTTCTCACAAGCGCTGATCGCCTTGGCCAATTTGAAGGCGCCAGTTTGGCACTGTCTACTCAAAAGGTTGCCGAATTCGCCTCGTCTACAGTTCGCCTCAGCGCCCTTTTCAGGACAAACACAGCGGCCCCCCAAAGATTTTCCAAAGCCACGGAGGTTGCGAATCTGAAGCCGCCGCATGCAACCAAAAGGTTGCAAGCCCACAACACGCGTGGAAAATGAAACCTTCTCACCCCCTTTTGGTTTGGTTTCCAGTTGGGATGGTAAAACCTATGTGCTATTCAGCACCCAGTGCTAGAGGGGTCCATGGCAACTGGCCAAATTTGCACAGGGTCATTGTCCACGTGGACGTCTCACTGAGTTGAGCCTGAGGCGCCGGCGGCATTGTGTGCAGGGAGGCCTCACATGAGCTGCGGGAAAACTAGGACGCGTCCCCTGATTTGTGTGAGAAATCGAGTGAGTCGCCACATACTGCCAAACGGACGACTTCTGGATCATTTGCGGCAGACCTTTGCACTGGCAAAAGCCGCCCTGTTATATTTGCTGGGCTATGGGACCCAAGAAAGCTTGCTAGCAGTGGCAAGATTCTGCCTAGACCACTGCAACTCTACAGCGAAGTTGTCACAAACTAAGGTGTAGGCAGGGTTTTTGGTAACATTCTAGCCAAACAAAGCAAAACGCCAGCGCCCGCCACGTTTCCCAAACAAAGGTGGGTGCCTTTTGTTGTTGCCATGCACCCCAAACAAGTAACTTTAGTCCCCCACTCCCCCCCAAAATACATAAATAAATAAATAAACAAAACACAAAACAGGCAAACAACCAACCAACCAACCAACCAACCAACCAACCAACCAACCAACCAACCAACCAACCAACCAACCAACCAACCAACTAAACAAACAAACAAACAAACAAACAAACAAACAAACAAACAAACAAACAAACAAGAAGGACCGCTCGAAGCCACTAAGACTTCGGCGGTCAGTTGGCCCCATGCGCCGCAGCACCGCCAAAGCTTCGATCCAGCGCCTAGGTTCGACTTCCAAAGCCTTTCAGTCCAAGGGACATGGGTGGGTCTTGAAAAAGAGGACTCAAAGATTGGGTTGGCGTCCTTTTGGTCTCCCTTGAAAACCACTCTAAAAGGGGTGCCATCAAAAAAATCGCCAGACTCATCTTATTCTGGCCTGCAGAGTTGACACGATAAGGTCTAAAAGTCTAACATCTTTCTGGCAGACTTGAATGAAAACACCTGACGAAAAGCTCTCAGCCAGGGAATCAAATCACAGGGAACCATTTATAGATCTGTCCCTTGACATCTGGGTGACAAACAGCAAAACCATCTGAATGGGATCGGAGCAGCCATGGAGGCACTCCTTGGCTTTCTAAAATCCTCAATCCTGGCGCATGTCATCTGAGCAATGGAAGAATGTCGAGAGGTTTGCCCTCCAATAGACAAACGGGTGAAGACCCACTTTCAGCCTACTCCTCCCAAATAGAGACTACTGAAACTCAGGAGGTGTGTGCAATCCACGTTGACTGAACCAAGCGCAAGTATTGGAGTTGCTGATCTTAGAGCCCTGCGCAGCTCGCTCGCACGAGCTGATTGCTGCCTAGGTGTTTGTCACTCAAGTGGTGTATTTTAAAAGTGGAATATTTCCATCACATTGTGGTTTCCTTTAATTTAGGGGAAGCAACGGGAAGCAAACATCTTGGGCCGTTCCGTCCGTGCGCACCCAGTCTGCACCCTCGCCTTGCATTGACGCAATGCTTTTGATTGCAAGTCTCCGGTCCCTATGTGGACATCCCCTTGCATGCGACGCTGTTCCGGATCGCATTCTCATTGTCTGTATCTCAACAACAGAAAGGATGTTGACTCCTTGAAAAGAAGCTCGCAAGGAGGAAACTTCCCAGTGGAACGACAGTGTTTGGTGCCTGGAAGGTGACAAGTGTCATTTCGGTGTGCCAACGAGGAGCTAAGGAAGGTTACAATTGTCGGTTCAAACCAATTACAAACCCAGGCCAACAGAAACATATTCACACGGGAAGCACTGCCCCCCTTCTTGGGTGTTTCCCTTCAAACTCGTCCACGGGTTTAACAAATCCATTGAAGACGCCCGAAGCCGAGCGCGCCGCGCTGAAGGCTGCGGAATTCTTGGGACCTCGCAGGCGTGGGGGCAGCTGACGTGCTCGGTTTGGATCCCTAAGCCCGCGTCATCTGGGTATAAATTTTACTTGCGCACCCGCCAGGGGACTTTTTGTGCACTGGAGATTTATGTCCACATGCCATCTTGAAGAACACAACACCGCCTCTGTTTTTCTTTTCTTTTTCTTGTAGAGACTCCGCTCTGATTCTATGCATTGTCTTGACTGCTGGAGGCAGTACAGAAAATAACAACCAAACATTCAAAAGTGTCCAATGCACCTTTTTCCCATTTCTTTCCACTGAGGCAAGCGGCTGCCAGTGCTGAAGGCTCGAGCCTTCCAAGAGCCCCGGCTGCATCGGTGCAGAAGCTGCAGCGCCTGGCACTTGGGCTGCTTCCCCCAGGCCAGGAATCTCAAACGGGACACCCCGTCTCAAAATCAGCCAGGGGCTTATCAATCCTGAATTCCACACTAACTCGCATCACATTGAACATCCGGACATGATCAACACATGAAGACATGTTCAGAGGTCGCACTCTGTGCCCTATGACAGCAATAGCCACAGTAAGGGCTTCGTCTCCACGCATCGGGTTCAAGACTTGACGGAAACTGTGCCGAAATCAAGTAATTAACCGAGTACAACCATGCTTCATATTGCGGGTGAGGAATGACACATCATGATCATGCCTTTGAACGAAGGGAAAATGCGCCTCTCGGTCCGCCGTCTACTTCTTGTGTACAAACTTCAGGTGACCGAGAGACTCATGTAAACTCCGATTTGATATGGACAAACACAAATTGGCTACCTCGCTCTGTTCAATATTCAATGGTCACCTTCTGGTGCTTGAATCACTTGAACGTATATAAACAGATGTGACCAGATCCTGTCCGTACCTTCCCCTCCATGCTCCACCTCATGGCAGACACAATGGACGTGCCTTGGAGAAGGGAAGACGAGAGGCTTTCTTGTGTTTGGACGAAACATGCATGTTTTTTGGAGGTTACCCTTTTTGGGGTTGCTATAATGCCACCCAATTTGCTAGTTCCCCATGAAGAGACAAACCCAAATCATGACGTGCACACATCACCACGGATACCGCGACATGGACTTTTTCAAGCATCTACTATTGGCGAGATGCGTGCCAAGCATCTAATGACCCTCACCCCGGATTCCGGGGAAGCCCTCACTCACTTGCCCACAGGATTCATATTATGGAATGTTGAGTCAAAATGGCTGCCACAAATGCTATAAAATGTTGTCCTCGACGTCATAGTCAAAACTATGGTTTACAGGCAAACAACCCTAGTTATTTTAATTTGGAGAACCCTTAACACAATCACCACGACAGACCCCTAAATGGGAAAGCCATTTGGCCAAAGCTCAAAGCGAGCCAGGTGACGAGCGCCGGCAAAAACAAATCCACTTGCCCCGCCTCTTGCCAGCGGGCCGCGTTTTGGCAGGCACCCACTGCAGCCCCTGCGGAATAGGCTTCAAGCACTAGCAGTAACCAGGAATCCAGATCTGGATTCCAAGGTCGACTTGAGCATATGCAAATGTGTACATGTACATATACATATATATATATATATATGTATATGTATATATATATATATGCCATGCAATTACATACATAGTATACATTTTTGGTATATATACATAGATACACCGCCAACCCGGCCCTGCAAGGCGGGAAGTCATACAACTCCTAATACATTGACTCTGGTCTGAACATCCTAAATCGCCTGCGGATGGTGAAGGCCGGCGGCCCAGCTTCGGCTTGGATCATCCCCCACGCACTCAAGGGTTCTACCGAAATCGGTCAACCCTTACTACAAAAGCAATTGTCACATGTCAACCAAAAAATCGAGGACACAAACAGGTATTTGAGTATGTGACAATAGAGGATTCCACAATATGGGGATCCTTGTGCTGTCCGTTTTACACCAGCCTTGAAAAGGCTAACCTCAAAACCACACATACAAACACGTTACTTGGCCATCCGGAGTAAACATATCTTCAGTCTACCCTAAAGGCGCCACAAGCCTCTGGACCCCTCCCCTCGGCTGCCCCACCCAGCGTCACGTCGCCCGCCAGCCGCCGGACAGCCGCGAGGCCCAAGAGCTCCAGGGCCCAGGCCCAGCCTGGCGCCAGCTTTGTGGCCTAATCAAAGTCACCAAAGTCACCCAAGTGGGTTGAAGGGAAACAACCACATTTTCTGACCTACCCCCAGAAGCCGTCAAAAAAAAGACCAATCCTGTGCCAATCCTCTTTCTTTCCGTCTGTGCAAGGAACTTTCGACTTTCGACTTCTTTGGACCTGATGCGCGGGTTTGGTTGGGGAAACCAGAGGGAAAGCAAACAAAGATGACATTTTTTTGGGTCCGCCTAAATATGTTGACACACACACACACCCATTTCGAGTCCCTTTGAAAACCCAAACCGCTACTTGTACAAAAAGCAAAAATCACATGAATACACAAATGATCTGATTGTTTGAGTTTGACGTGGACAATGCTCGTGAAAATTGAGTCCCGAAACGGGTTCCTTAGCTTGCTGCCGTCTTGGGGAGGATCCTTCTTAGGACTTTGCTTGGCTTCATTGGGATCCGAGCATGGAGGTTTCCGTATTTCAGAAAGAAAGCGTCTCCATAGGTGTTCGATCAAATGATCTCTCAAAATACTGAACTCTCCAGTGGTATCCTTTGGTTTCCATCCATGCAGCAAGCTGGTTTCCTAGGAGTGTACATCAGAGGTGTCTGTTTTTGGAAAAAACAACTGCCTTTCGATGCCCATGGTGATGAGGCGCCTTCCGGGAAATTCCTGACAACCCGCAGCATCTTTAACCGCTGAATGTCAGGAGTGCAGCAACCACTTCACCAGCTGGCCATGTTCACAAAAATAAAAACCAAAACGAAAACCACATCCCGTTGTGAAAACTACATTTCACTGGCAATTTACCAGAACAAAACTGAAACCATCTGAAAACCATCTGAAACCTGCCGTTTCAACCAAACGGACACAAGCTTGGTGCCTCTGACAGAAGCCCACCCACGAATGCCGGCCCTGCATTTGCTCCCAACAATCATCTCAATTCAAACCACCACCCGAGGGTAAATCGAGCTGAAACCCCCCATTCAAGCGCGCCGATGGGCGCACTGGCTGCACGCCCGCAGGCGGTGATGGCTGCATTACAGCCTGAAGTGACGAAGCGCGGCTCCGAATGGGTCGTGGTCATGTTCGTCATAGGCACCCTTGCGTTGGTTGTCTAAGCCACTACGGATTGCAGACGACATCCCTACGCCAAATAAGCGGGTAGGTCCCGGAGATTGGTCTGCCAGGTACCCTCCCGCTATGCTAGCGGGAGGAAGAGTACTCTAAAGAGCTACCAAGGATTGGCCACTGTGTCTTGTAGGTTCACAGGTCCAACAAAAACGTTGGGCGAACATTGCCAAACAGATTGGAGGCTTCCAAAAATCATGTGTATCTCTGTGTTGTGATTGTTTCTACAAAGATTACAGCACCACCAGCACCAGGCAAAATACCCCAAGCACAAGTCCGAAACACAAGGGGCAGCAAAGGTCGCCCAAAAGGCTCATCCCCTCAATAAACCCTTACCTTTCAGGGTTTGAGTGGACCTCCGAGATCGTGGCCGCTACCTTGCGAACCCTTGGCTTGCGTAAGGCTGGTACACACCTCCAGGCTGCGCGGCGCTAGGTCCTGCGTGGCCCAAATCCCCACCTTGAGGAGGATGGGGGTCCGGGGTGCTGGGTCAGACTGATTCGCCAAAAGCAAAAAGCTGGCTTCCGGCTGCACAATGGCAAGAATTCAACATGTGGGAAAAGCCTGGCAATGTCTGATTTTCCCCATGTCTTCCGCAGGATCCAACTTTCAAGGGTGGCACCAAACAAGAAGAGAGGGGCTGAGAAAGGGCATCTTTTCTTGACATCAGTTCCCACTCTCGAGCCTCCCGCAAAAGCAGCTGCCGCAGGAGCTGCAAAGCAGCCACCCACTGCGCGCCTCGCTGGATGCAAGCTGCTCCCCGAGGGCAAACCTTTCAACCCTCTGCTTGGTGAATAAGGGACCCCAAAAACATAGCTCCTTCAACCAAACATATCCAAGACCAAATGCTCTCCACAAAGTACATTGCTCCCCCTTGCTCAGTGAAGCCCAAGCCCTCGATTCTCCCCTACCAGGGGAAAATTACTTAAATGGGCGAAACAGGTGAAAAGGAACCCCTCAATCCCAGTGAATCTGCGTCTCCATCACTGGGCAAGCGGGAGCTGCCAATCATTGGTAACCCGCATGACCTTCGCTTTCAAACCATCCAGCAAGAGTACTTAGATGGTCCAGCTGCAGGCTAAGTGCACTTTACCCCATTCAACACCCTGTAAAGCCAAAAAAAAAAACGGGTACCAATCAATTTAGCTCACCCCCAGTCTAAGTCTAAGTACCCAAACCCCCCTCAAAGACTCGTCAGGCTGTCAGCTATCGTGCCCGCGCCTGTGGCGCACGCGCTCAGCGCAACGCCCAAGCTGAAGCCGTCCCTGGCCTGCGGAAAAGCCCTGGGCGCCAAATCCCAGCTGATCCATCCACCACTGCTGTAGGCTTGCAAACCTACCCACTATGGTAGGCTCGTCTTTAGATGCTGTTTCTACGTTTTCACGGGATCGCCTTGCAAGTCCTACAGATCTTCCTCAGCTTTTGCTCCCAAGCAAAAATCTAATGCGCTGAAATGATGGACTAAGGATGACAAGGTCAAAGGCGGGGTAGGGCAAAGAGGTGGGCGAAAAAGCTGGTTTCAGCCCACTCTTGAGGTTGTGGGCTCCTGGTAGTGTTTCTTCACACGGCAATGGGTTGGGTGCGGTTTTGGTGGAGAGGAGGTGGGGGTTCATAGATTGTTGCATGGATCCTGCTGCTTGGGGTGGCTTTTGCAAATTCAAAACAAAGGCAACGCACACCAACTGGTATTCCTGGCAACCCCACAGCTCCCCCAACATTCCCAAACTGCACCACGTCTGGTGCTGATGCTTGGCTGGACTGATTTCAGCTTAGGGCAATCTGTCCACCTCGGCTCCCACACACTGGGAATAATGATCTTGACTTCTGGAGACCTCTGACAATTTGCTGCCTTAAGTTTTGCCTTTGTTTGCAAGCAATGAGTGGTGAGCCCTTGCCCGAAAACGATCAGAACATGACGTGTTCATGCCATCTCTCTCTCTCTCTATCTTTCGCTCTGCTCTGGTCGAGCACTTTTTGCCTACATGCGGAAATTATATTTTGGATGAGCCCACATAGGTCCCAAATGGCTTTCCTGGGATGCCAACTCTGCCGGCGCCTCGAACTGACAGAAGAGCCAAAG